TACTCTCACACACACACACACACACACACACACACACACACACACACACTGGTGTAACTTTAGCTGCGTGCTCATGCTTTTAGTTCTTTTGTGCGACACAAACAGCCACCCAACAGGAAACACACGAGGATTATTCAAATGAGCTGTGAAGAGCAGTTTGACAGGAGAGGAAGGTGAGAGATGGGCGTGGGAGGATCTGACAAACAAACAGGAAGGTGTGTGTTTCTCTGTGTGTGTGTGTGTCCTCCTCAGAGCGTTAACTGATGGAGCTGAGAGCGTGAGGACTCAGGAGGACCAGCGGGGACACGCCACGGGCCAACATGGACTTCCATCAGAGGGCAGCTCTGGATATCTCCACCAAGAACCCTCAGGATGACTTTGAGGTCCTGCTGAGAGTCGGAGGAGGAACCTACGGAGAAGTTTACAAGGTCAGGGTCAAAGCAGCTGCTCCCACACCTGAAATGCTTGAAACGCTCAGACAGTGGCTTCATGTGGAGACATTAGAAGCAGCATCTCCAGAACAAATTAAAGCTGTGAAGTCTTTTTTCTGCTGCATTCATGTCAAGTGGAGCTTGAAGTTCTGCTCACTCGGCTCGTTTCAGAACCTCTGAGCGTCTGGGTCCTGGTCTCATTTCGATAAACAATATTTTAGCTTTGGTGTGAAGCTTGGAGGTGCTGCTGGAGGAAGTGGTTGGACAAGAAGTGAAAGTGTTCTTTTGGAGATAGTTTGGTTGTTTCACTCCAACGGAAGGAGAAGCTGGTTCTTCTAGAAACAAGACGAGTTTTAATGTTTGAACCTCAAGGACCTGCTGGTTCCTGGTTCAAACGGTCCATTAAAGTGAAACACTGAAGCAGAAGTGATTCCTCAGAGCCGGAGTTTTGGTAACTTTGTGACCTTGTGTTTTTACTTTCAACAGAAATTTATTTTGGAGAACTCGCTCCTCTTTCTGACTCTGACAGAAATTCAGGTTTCACGGACCAACATTAAACCTTCATCAACTTGAAGAAATGCACGTCGCCCGCCACGTTTTAAAAACCTCATGGTCTTCTGCGTTCTGATCGTTTTATTCAAACAGTTAAAGTAACGGTACGCCCTCACACTGTCTGCCAGGGATGACTCTCAGCTACTATTACCTCAACATCTGTAAGGCTGACAGCTGTGGCGGTTCTTCTGAATCAGTTTAGATCTTCATAATTATCGATGAGTTTCATTCAGATCTGTCCAGTAGCTCATGAGATATTTTACTAACAGACAGATCAATGGAAACGCACACGGTTTGACCTCTTGGTGGCGGGCGACAAGAACCAGGTGAACATTGTGATGGTGTCGCTCGAAAAGATGAAGGTTCCAGATGTTTTTGTCTTAAAACAGGCCCTTCAGGTCCAGTACCTTGTGGAACGGGTGGATCAGGAACAGGTTCTGGAGAAAAGTTGGGTCTTGGGGGTTCTCTGAGAAGATCCTGGAGGGTTCTTGTGGTGGACCAGAGATGACGGTGGTTCTGTTGTTCCTGCTCGGTCCAGTTATTTCTCCAGTTATCACATCTGAAACTGGATTAAAACCAGTTGATAGTTGTCTTTCCTGTCAACTTTAGACCAACACATCTGTCTGTAAGAACTGGTCCAAACCCAACACACTGATGGAGTCAATAAAACATCATGAAGATGGAGATGGACTCTCTCCACCACTGAACCTAAAGTGGAGGTTTTTGGTCCGTGTGAGAAAACCGGAGAAAACCCACAGGTGCAGAAGGAGAACATGTAAACTCCACCCAGAAAGGTCAGGAGGTAAACCTGCGACCTTCTTGTTGTGAGGAGACATCTCTATCCACCGCCCCACCGTGCCTTCCCCTCCCCAAAACAAGAAATTTTGTGTTTTAGACATTTGTGAGGACAGGAAGGAGAAACAGACAAAGAGAATGGCAGGTCCACGTGGACTTCCTATAGCCCAGGTGAACTTTCTATAGTCCACATGGATTTCCTATAGTCCAGGTGAACTTTCTATAGTCCAGGTCAACTTCCTATAGTCCAGGTGAACTTTCTATAGTCCAGGTCAACTTCCTATAGTCCAGGTGAACTTTCTATAGTCCAGGTCAACTTTCTATAGTCCAGGTCAACTTCCTATAGTTCAGGTCAACTTCCTATAGTCCAGGTCAACTTCCTATAGTCCAGGTGAACTTTCTGTAGTCCAGGTGAACTTTCTGTAGTCCAGGTGAACTTTCTATAGCCCAGGTGAACTTTCTATAGTCCAGGTGAACTTCCTATAGTCCAGGTGAACTTCCTATAGTCCAGATGAACTTCCTATAGTCCAGGTGAACTTTCTATAGCCCAGGTGAACTTCCTATATGAGGAAAGTTAAAAAAAAAAAAGTTAAGATAGAAATAATTACAAATACAAACAGGTACGTAGAGTAAGTAAAGACAGCAGCAGAGTGAGGACGTGGTCAGTTTGTCCTCCAGCAATCTAAGCTTATAGCAGCATAACTAAGGGATAGCTCAGGAAACCCAAGCCAACTTTAACTATAAGATTTATCATAAAGGAGAGTCTTAAGCCCAGTCTTAAAACTGGACAATGTGTCAGCCTCACAGACAGAAACTGGAAGTTGGTTCCACAAGAGAGGAGCCTGATAACTGAAAGATCTTCCTCCCATTCTGCTTTTGGAAACTCTAGAAACCATAAGTAAACCTGCAGTCTGAGAGTGAAGTGCTCTGTTCGGGAAATATAGAACAATAAGATCTGTAATATAAGATGGAGCTAGGTTGTTGAGGGCTTTGAAGCTACCACTCGAGATATGATCTCTCCTATCAACTCTCATTAAAACTATTTGGGTTCTGGTTTTTGTGGCACCCCAGGATTTTCAGTCCCCCCCCCCCCCCCCCCCCCACACACACACCCCCATAAGTTCACCAGGAGGTTCTATAGCTTGTGTTCAGACTGATAAACATAAGAGGGTCTAAAAACAGTTTTTAGTCCCCTTTAAGGATGTTCAGACTTTTTTAACACGACCCAAATTTCAATATTTACCACTTGATTTATTGACTATTTGTTTCTAGTTGATAATGTATTTATTGACTAGTTGTTTCTAGTTGA